GACCGGCCCGGTTAAGGTGAATAGTACCGTTAACCGGTAGGCCCGGACCGGACCGGCCCGGTTCAATGGTAAATTCACCATAATATACAATGAATATACCATAATATACCATAAATATACCATAAATATACCATAATATACCGTGAATATACCAATTAATGGTAACACCGAAATTCTTTTTCAGCGTGCATCGGTGCATCATTGATTCCCAAAATATGGAATCCTTGGAATACCACATTTATGGTATTTAAACATGCGAGGGACTTGACAAACGCAGACAATGTTTCTTGTAATATGCGATATTGACTAACTTTTAGTCTTTTACTCTTCGTAAGTGCTATCATGTTAGATAAAATCATAATTATAATTAATAATATATTTTATAGAAGTAATATTAGAATATTGAGAACTTATGTGGGGTAGAGCTTTTTTTTTTATTGAGTTAGCTTTAGGATCGACAGTCATTAATTTCATGATTTTACACTTTTTTCTTCATATTTATTGTATACTTAAACACAATTTTTAAAAAAGTGTACTCCTTGAGATGAGGTACTCGTGCTTTGCAGTTTGCACGTACCTACTTTACGACTACTTTTTAATTATTAACTAAGATGATGTGCAAAACATATGATATTTAAGTCAAGCATGCCAAGCAATATCGAGACCTAGGAAACGTATATCATGCTGTAATCTTGGTTTTCAAAATCTTGGGATTATCCTAGCATGCCTATTCACTGGTCTTACAGCAGATATGATCGCGATTGTCTTCCATGAGGATTCACGGAATGAATAAACCATATATATACCGTAACTATACCATGAATATACCATAAATATACCATAAATATATCAATTAATAGTAACACCGGTATTGCGTAATCACGTGCTCATTTTTCCCATCTTTCTTGTATTCATTCAATTATTACAAAGTATTAATATAAATTAATATTTATACTATACATAATTTCAAAAAAAAATTAAACCCGGCCCGGCCCGGTCCGCTACAACCCGTAACCCGTACGGATCAATCCTAACCCGGAACAACCCAGCCCGGTAGCGAACCGGTACTGTTCAGCCCGGACCGGAAACCGGACGGGTCAATTTTTTTTGACCCGGAACCGGCCCGATAGGCCCGTTTGACAGGTCTAAGTGCTACTAGAGTATTATGTGATAGAAGGATGCCGACCAAGGTAAAAGATAAGTTCTAGAGAACAACTATAATATCATCTACATTATGTGGTAGTGGATATTTGGTGTCTAAAATTTAACATGTCCATAAAATAAGTGTTGCAGAAATGCGAATGCTACCGATCCAGCATCAAAGGTAGCATTTACTATTTTTTTTCTTATTTTCTGTGACACATGCATATATATAAGTATAAATGAGTTATTTTTCATTATAAATAATTAGTTGTATGACTTTAGTGAAATAAATTGAAATTTAGACGACTATTTGTGAAATTAACTCTGGGACGGGGATAGTAACTAATTAAAAGACAGATAATCTGGACAGGAAAGATCGAAATTTACCAGTTTCATCTGTCGAATCATATCAAAATCTGGGATTTTACCATTGCAAATTTCATGAACTTCAGCACGTACTTTTTGTTGCCAATTGGGATATGCAGCTAATAACATAAGACACCATGTTGCAGAAACAGCAGTTGTCTCAAATCCAGCCAAATAAATATTCTTGCAATTATCAACAATGAACTGATCAATTTCATTTGAATTTAAATTGCTATTTTCTGCCCCTTCAAGAATTGTTTGTAACAGATCCTTCTCATATCCAGTTTTCTTCCTTTCTTTCACTAATTTCAGGATTAATTTGCGAGTTTCCTTTTCTAATCCCCACATTTCTCTATTGCTTTTTGTTGGTAAATACCTATGAGTTTCAAGAATGTATTGAGAAAGAGTTCAATTTTTATAAACGGTATAAAAAAAACAATGAAGTCATATATAAGGTAATATAGATATACAATAAGCATCAACTCATAGATAGAGGCGGATTCACAATTTAAACTTTATGGGTTAAATCCATTATAGATGGATCCAGGATTTAAATTTCATGGGGTTTTAACGTATAAATAGCACAGGCTAGCCAGTATTCAGACTAGTAATTGAAAAATAACCAGCGTTTACAAAGTTATTTAAAAATAGTCATTAGTTTGCTGCAACACAGAAAGTTCTAGCATAATATACTGAAGATTGGTGCACCTGTGTATGAACTTCCAGCATATTATGCTGGAACTCCAACACGCAGAAAGCTCCAGCATAATATATTGGATATTGGAGCACCCGTGTATGAACTTCCAGCATATTATGTCGAACCGGTATATTATACTAGAACTACAATATATTATGCTGGAAGTCAAGTATATTATACTAATACTGGAGTTCCATCATAATATAGTTGAACTCGAGTATGTTATGCTGGAATATTTTTTGAATTTTAAACCGTATTTTCGTTCAAATTTATCTTTACATAAAAAGTGATTAAACCTAGCATTAATCCCATTATACTTGTAAAATTATGGGTCTGACCTACTAATTATTGCAATTTTAATGAATTCTCATAAATTATATTCTATATTAAAAATTATGGATTCAGATATTCGGCCTGGGTCATAAACTGGTAAAAATGGTACCTAACTTGTTATCACAACTTAAATAATGTTGATAGTTTAAAAAGTATTTTAATTTTACTCAATATATATAATTAAGGGAGTGTTTGGTATGATGGAAGTTATTTTCAAATATTTTCTGAAAATTGACTTATTTTTTGGAAAATGTATTTCAGTCTTTGGTTGGAGAGTGCAAAATGTTTTTCCAAGAAAATAGCATTTATTGAATGACTTTATAATAATAATAGCAACAACTTTAATATTCCCTCGTCTCAAGTTATATGTCATGATTTCTAAAAATAATTATCTTAAATTATTTGTTACTTTAGAAGTTTAAGAATTTTTTTTTTCATTTTGCCCTTAGTAGTAATTGTTCTTGAAGATGGAGATGATACACAAATAAAATAAATCTTAAGACACAATTAAGGGTAAAATTAAGAAATAGCCAGATTTACAAGTGGTAATTGAAAAATAGCCACAGTTTCAAAAGTAATCGAAATTTAGCCACTTTTCATGTAAAGATAAATCTGAACGAAAACACTGTTCAAAATCCAGAAAATATTCCACCATATTATACTGGAGTTCTAACATAATATACTAGTCCAGCATAATATGTTGGAAGTTCATGCACAGGTGCTCCAATCACCAGTATATTATGCTGGAACTTTCTTTGTGCTGGAGTTCCAGCATAATATGTTGGAAGTTCATACACAGGTACACCAATCTCTAGTATATTATGTTGGAACATTCCGTGTTGCAACAAAATAGTGGATATTTTCAGTAACTTTGTAAATGCTAACTATTTTTCAATTACCAATTCGAAAACTGACTAACCCGTAATATTTTTACTTATCGTAAAATAGACAAAAAGTCCTTCTAGTTAATGTTTTTTAAGGGCCGTAAAATAGAAACGCGAGAAATAATTTGAGCGGAGGTAATAGTGTTTTGATGAAACGTTTTAAAATTAAATATTGATATAATGTCTAATTGTCGGTTAAAGTCGTGATAAAGAGTTGAGATGATTGTGAAGGAAAATATTTTTTTTCTAAAAGTGAGAGGTCATTTTCCGCCTTTTTGGTAAAAATATTTTCGACAACCAAACACCAAAAAGTAATAAAAAAAATTATGTAAAAATAGAGGTACCTCATGCCAGGAATTCCAGAAAATAGAAATCTTTTGGTACAAACTTCTTCAAGAGCACGAAGCCTAACGAAAATCTCTTCTCCTTCTAAATAATTACTTCCAAAACATGCCTTTGATATCACATCACCAGAGAAATTTCTTAAATATGGATCAATTTTGATGTCAATAATTTCTCCTTCAGCTTCAATTTTCTTTTTCCTTGATTTCACGAGGGATAATGCAGATTCTTGAATTAAATTTGTCATTCCCTGCAGCAAATATTTGGTGAGAATTGTAATAAACAACGAGTTAATTCAATGTCCATGCAGGGCAATAGTTGGCTAGGAGAGGTGCGCCAACGGCAAGCAGAAGTAACGTTATTAGATATCTCAGGAAAGTTCGGCCAGAACTGCACGTGCATGTTTCTTTGCATGTGATTTATCCGTGATACTTTTTAAAATTATGTGAACGAGCGAACCTTTTTTATACAATCAAGTTAAATTAATTGTTATAGCAAGGTTACAGGCTACAAACAAGTTATTTAAATATTGTAGTAGTGTTAAAAAAAATTGCATCATTATAAGTTAAATTCTAAAGGCAATTATCCCTAATCAATAGAATTGGTAACCTGAAACTTCAAGATAAGTAAATAACCTTCTATAGCATGTTAAATTGTAGTGGCTTATGTAAAACTCATTTACGAGACTAGTGGTTATAAGATAATACACTTTCCGATCCAAAATAAGTGATTTTTTAACCCTTTTTTTGTCTAAAATAAGTGATTTTTTCGATTTCAAGAATGAATTAATTATTTTTTTCCTACATTGTCCATGGGGTACATAGTGTTGGAATATGTGTTAGGAATGTTTATGTGAGATAGTAAAGGTTAATATGGTCAATTCTATTGCTAATTAATGTTAAAAGGTGAATTTCTTAATCTGTGTGAAATACCCAAAAAATCACTTATTTTGGACCGGATGGAGTAACAAGTAAACTCTTCATATCAAGGATCTAATTATATGGTAATTATATCGTCAAACCTCTTTAAACCAGTTATTTGCTCCTATATTTTTGACTGTTATAGTGAATGGTGTTACATTCCATGTTTCCGTACGTGAGAGTACGTCGTAAGCTAATTGATACAAGCTCAGAAATGAGATCATTTTTGAAAGTACATAATGTAAGTTTCATCTTGTTATCTTTGAGGTTATAAATCTTTAAGATCATGAATAACAAGTACCAAAAAGGTTGGAAAGCTTAGACGCTAAACGAATAGAAGAAAATAAGTTTCGTTGAAAGTCGACAAATTTGGAATGTTGTAACATGTACTTTGGGGTGAGACTAGGGTTCTTAACATGATAAGGAGGTTATTCTATGAGTTATTTTAGTCGTATGATATTCATTTTCTATATTTTAAAGGCAAGCAAGTTGTGGAGCAAGAGTTGGCAAAGGTCATCACAAGTTACATTCATAAATTTGCTGAAATTTAGGTCAAATGTAGATAACCTTTTCCCCCAATATACTTGGAATAAAGGGATGATCGACATACCAAATTGAAGATATACGAGTCTAGTTTCCAACGCATTAAACCGTTCATCCATACGACATCGGAGTAGAGAGATATTCGCATTTTTACGAGACCGCGCAAGCAGCTCCCAATGGGACCCACTTAGGCGGTGGTTGACCTACTTCAATTCATAAACAATTTGGATGCCTATTTTTGCTCATTTTTCAACTCAACCTCGTCTCCAAACTTCTCCTAACCCTTATAAATAGATTCCACAAGGGTTTGAAGCGATTCCAAAGTGATTACACCATATTTCAATATCAAACTTAGTCCTAGTAAAGAACAACACCTCTTTGAGGTTGTGTTGTCATTGAGGATTGTTGTGGGTTGTATTTGGATGAAATTCCAAGTTGTTGTTGCTGTCTAAGATCAAGTTGACTTGTTTGAAGAGTCACTTGGAAGGTATTAAGGACTCAATATGTTTAAGGTATGTTAAGGCATTTCCTTCTTTCTTTTGGCATGATATAAAGTGAAATAAATACGCTACTTCATAACGGATCTACTCCTAGCAAATGAGGTTGTCCATGTTATTCTTTCCTTATAAAATTATTCTAAGCAAATGTGTATGATCCTTGAATCCTACTAAGGTTCATATTGAGGCATAGATGTCCATAAGGTTCTTAAGACACTCCAAAAGGTTTAGAAGGTGATTCCATGAGTCGAGCATGCATTATATATATGTACCTATTCTACTCTACCGAGCCGCGCTATAGTCGGCCGGGTATGGCACCTATTTTGCAACCACTGATCAATTGGATTTTCTCGAGCTCCACATGGCCGGGTACGATTCTACCAAGCCTTATGATGGTCGGGTACGTTTTTACCGAGTCCTCTATGAGGCCGGGTACGATATGATGATGATGATGACCACAGAGGCAAATATTTTTAAACGTTTATGTATATATATGTATTATGCATTTCATGTCAGTAGTACCCAGAGGCACTCAGATGTTACATGTTGTATCTCCTCTATCTCATTTTACATTACAATTCTTGTTTATGCTTTCTAGCCTTACATACTCGGTACTTTATTAGTACTGACGTCCCTTTTGCCTGGGGACGCTGCATTTCATGCCCACAGGTCCTGATAGACAGGTTGACATTCCTACTAGTAGGCTGTCAGCTCAGCGAAGGTGTTGGTGCACTCCACTTGATCCGGAGTTGCCTATTTGGTCAGTATTCTTTAGATATGTATTGATTGGTATGGCGGGGCCTTGTCCCGACCTTTATGATTTTATGTATTCTTAGAGGCTTGTAGATGGATGTTAGGTGTATGGATACTTGTATGGCCTTGTCGGCCTATGTTTTGAGTTTACAAATAGCCATGTCGGCCTTATAGGCCCGTAAGTTTGTATATCATGTTGGGTCTTCATATGTTGAGTATTCCCTTATGTTTTGTTCTTGTTATCTCATGATGGGTTTTCTGGCTCATCTACTCTTGATAGTATGATAAAAAGGTATGTTACGTTGGTACTCGGTCGAGTAAGGCACCGGGTGCCTGTCGCGGCCCTTCGGTTTGGGTCGTGACAAAAGTGGTATCAGAGCAGTTCTGTCCTTGGGAGTCTAGAAGCCGTGTCTAGTAGAGTCTTATTTATGGGTGTGTACTGCACCACACTTAGAAGCAAGAGGCTACATTGCATTTAGAACTGTCACTCTTTCTTCTTACTCTAGATCGTGTGGTAGAGCTCAGTTATAAGAACTCAATTTCCTAAACTCCATCTTATTCATGATACGATGATGCCTATATCCAAAAAGACAGTTGGTAAGAGATTGAATGTGGACGTAGAAGAGTTTATCAGAGGAACTCGATTTTGCATCATGCTTAAAATGCGTAAATGTTAGGTCTTCAGCAAATCATGTTTATACTAAGATATGTGAGCCTCTTAATAAGGAACCCCAAGGCATGAATATCTATTCACCCATAGGGTAAAGAGCAACGAGAGAACTAGGAGATGGATATAAGTTTCAATAAGTGAAAGAAATAACATGAAAAAAAAGAAAAGAAAGAGGTACGAGGTACCTAGACAATGAAGATTATCAGTATTTACAATTAAGGTAGAGAAATATAAGCATTCTGAGTTACTTTCAACAGTAACAAAGTTTTATACAATTGACCACACCCACCTTAATTATTTCCTATGGGAAATGACAAATATAGTTTAAGAGAATGATGTAATATCAGGATCAAGCTAGGGTTAGAGTAACAAAAATTTGTGGATGGATTGTTATCATTAGCTAACATTTTCGAAGGGTACTGCAAAGGTGGTAATAGATCTTCTTATAAGGCACCTAGATGGTGATCTCTAGAATAGTGCAATCAGATATGAATACTAGAATATTCAGCAATTTCAGAAGATAGGCGGCGGAATCCTAAAAGGGATAAAATATTTACCTTAGTATGACTCCCGCCCTAGAGAGAGAGAGAGAGATAGAGAATTTTAGGAATCCCGAAAAGCCAGTGATATGAAGCAAGAGGAGCTAAAAGTAAAAGAATGTTTTGTTGAAGTCTTCAGAATAAAGTGATAGATAGAGGTATTAGTCGGAGAATAAGAAAAGAGTAACTAAAATATTATGAGTAAGGTGTGATACATGGCATGATAGGATGACAAAGTCTGCAGTCAACTGAATGGAAAGACAAAAGGTGACATGCCATGATAAAATAAAAGTGTATAAGCCATAAAGCAATATCCCTATTTTGAGAAATGAGTTGGTGACTTCGACATGATTACTAGAAGGAAAAGGTAGACCCCAGAGTAATAGAAAGAAGTATGGGCTGGTAAACAAGATAAACTGAACATGAATTGGGAATCGAATGATTTGATAATAATCGCCATCATCAGAATTTTAGAGATTGCATTCCGGCGATAATAGAATGGACAACAGAAGAATAACCTTTAAAAGGTCATTTAGTAAGATGTTTCCCTAAGGCAAGCACTGTGAGCAAAGTTAATCATAAGGGACTAAGTGTGCTAGTTACACTAGGTGTCGCCTTCATGCGTAAGAAATTTAGTTATCCCTGGTACATAAAATTACCATAAGGAAATTAAGGTTCTTTGATGATGTAAGAAGACGCCAAAGATGAATAGACAAAACATCTATAGATAGACCGTCGTAGTACTAAATCTTCGTAATCCCCTAAAGGGGGAATATGGTGTGATATGGTATTTGTTAAACGATACGCTTTACGCTAGAGGGGGGTGAATAGCGTATTAAAAATTATTGAGCGATTTAATGCGGAATAAAAACTTTGCAGAAATAAAGACAAGTGCAGTAAATTAAACTTAC